TGAAGTCCCCGGCAACTACTACGACGTCCGTTGATTGAGCACTTTGGAGTAGCTGAGAGATCCTGGTGGAATTTATCTTTGATTTCAGGTATACTGCAATCTGTCGGTGCATACACCGATACGACGAATAAGCATCGACGCTTCATTCTGTAGCTGTTGACTCGAACTGAACCGTTGAGACGTACAGCGCACAATCGGCTACTGACTGGAATCCAGTCAAGAAGCGAGCGCTCAGCCTTGGCACTTAGCGCAATCCCGACATCAGCAACACCGCGAGCTTCGGATGCCGAATCGCCTGACACACGGAGGGTGAGGAGTGAGGTTAAGGTTGGTTCAGGACAACGCAGAGAGAGATAATTGAAGTAGGGTCTTGTATGCGTGTTTCGGAGGCACAACATACATCTACATTGAAATGGAACAATGGATTTATTCGGAAATTTTACTCGAAATTCCACTTTGCCGGTTTGATTTTCCAGTCAAAGGCTTCATGTAGGTAACCCAAAGGTTAAACCCTTTCTTTGTAGATGCAGTAAGGGATAGAAATGTTTTCATAAAGAAAGCAAACCTCACGTAGGGACACTTTCAAATTGCCATATATATATATCATTACCGAAAACGCGGCGTGGTCAAGATAACCCATTGACTACAGTGTTCAATAGCTCCGAAATTCTGGCAGCACAAGCACGCGCCAAAGTAGGCGAAATAGGTTAACCAATGTGTGTAACAATGATGCGTGCGATAGTGTGAACTCAACTTGACTGGGCACTGCCACCAAATCCGTTTGTGAAGGCAAAAAGAGAGTAGAGGGAAGCTATTTCATTCATTGTTGGGACTCATTAGCAGTGCGTGATATTTTTGCGCCCCACTATTGCAACTCAAATTGCCAAACCATATACGTGGACTGCACAGTCAACACTATAGTACGTAGGTGATTCTATTTCTGGTGACCTGGGTCACTGGTCTTGACCAGGCCAATACAGCGATTTAGTCGGACCACAGCAGAGCTCACGCACACACTCTACGAAGTGAGCCAGGGTCGGTGGCCCAGCGCGTTCCGATGACGCGCGACATTGAAACACTTGGTCACCGCCATTCCCAGATGGAAAAAAAACGAAACTTCATCTATACAGATGGATTGCTCTTTATTTGACTAGCTCAACTTATATATAGCAGTGTTCACTTGGTACGTGGATTCAACCGTGAATGGCACAAATTGGCACCCCGATTTTGCTCTCCCCAATCGGAGCAATCATACCGCGTGTGCGGTTCGTCCGGAATAAAGTTTCATTTCGGGAAAGAAGAAGGGAAGAAAAAGAAATATATATATACCCCTGATCGACAAACGATTGATCACGTGCGCGTGAAGGTGGAATTTAAAAAAAAAGTGATAGAAAACACAAAACCGAAAGAGGGACTGGTGGACTGGTACTGCTCACGGAGAGAGAGACAGCGAATCGGCATTGAGCAAGAAAGAGAGACTGAGAGTGAGCGTGTGTGTGTGTGTGTCTGATGATATGACAATGGTCAAAGATCGTCAAAATTAATAAAAAGCTCGAAAGAACAGTACACATTGGAATATCCGTGTATTTGGACGAGAGACACTAAAAAAGACAATGGAAGAAGCGCCTCAGCTGACTGATTCGTCACAGAGTGGGCGATGACTAGTGGGTAATTTAAAAAAAGCAAACATACGCCGGATTAAAATACATGGAACATTTTTCCTCTCTCTCAATTCACACGACTGCGTAGTTCCGCTTCGAGAAGTGCGAGGCGTGATTTCAAAAATTTGTATCGCGTGTATTCGTTGCGCATGGACGATCGATCAGCACGTTCGACTTTATGACCTGTTTGAACAGAAAAACAAATATGACACACAGTTGGAAGCAGCAGCAGTAGCAGTTGCATCATTACGGGTGACAAACTTGGGCATGGACAGAGAAAATTACAGGTAAAATTCAATTTTTTATTACACACCCAAATGTGATAAACAGCAGACGGGGCGAACCACATATTCACGAGAACCCGCTGTTCAACGGTGGAAGCCGGTAACCACCTAAGCTCCGCGAATGGGGTGAACCACATAAGGCTCCGCTAGGTTAGACGTGATTTGAACCGGACGACAGTAAAGCTACCAAACACCAAAGTCGGATGGCGATGGCAGGGCTCGAACCTCGGATGCAGTGGCCCACTGTGAGAACAACGAGAACAATTCAGTCCAAATATGGAATAAAGAACGAAAACAGTTTCGCACTGCTCCTATCGGACGGGAACACGTAACGCGAAAGTTTCTCCGGCACTCCCCTCCCC